CCATACCCAATGAAACTGATAACGCATGCATCTATCACCAAACCTTTTATACATGTAGAAATTAATAATAATTTAGGATCGCTATAGTACTGATTTACTTAAGATGTCCCATATTACATAAACAATATTCCTTTAATAAATTGTATTTTATTCTTTAGCCTTTTGAAAATCATTTATTATAGTCTGTAAGTTGCTATAGTGTTTGGGTTTAATCATTCCAACCCCATTTTACAAAAAGGGAAATTGAGGGTTGGAGAAAAGTGACTTGCTTAAAGTTGTATAAAATATTTGGGGTTGGGGAAAAGGAAAGTGTACAAAGTATTTTTATCAACAGATGGACTGAATAGGACTTTTTAAAGTCACCTTACCTGTGATTATCTGATTGAAGGAGTTCTGCATTTAAGATAATTCAAAAATAATTTTAAAGGGAAAGAAGATGTCTACAATTTACTTCTCACATCATGTCCCTATATTTCACATCTTGTTTCCTAAGACCCACTGAAACCATCTTCCTAAAAAACTTGAAATTTACTTTATCTTCATGCTCAGTACAAGTAGACAACAGCTACTTCTCCAGCCTTCCAAAAGCATTTATGTGTTTAATGTCACCTGAGTACCAAATATGGTCTTTTCCATAGAAAGACAAGAGAATTTCTTCATCTTTCTCTGAGTGACTCTGAAAACTGGGATTTGGCCCCACCATTCCCCCATCATGTGTATCAACACCCTCTTTCAGTCACTGATGGCTGTTTTGTTTAGTATATTTTCCATCAACCCAGAGATGCACATTTCCATCTGTCCCTCGGTTTGGCTGTTCAGACCTTGTTGATGACTTTAACTCAGTCTCTCCAATGGAAACTCACCCACCACACAGAAGCATGTGCCTAGAATACAGGCAGCCCTACCTTCAGATCCTCCCTAAACATCATGTCAGTTACATTCCTTAATATGATGTGTTCCTTAAAACAAGAATCTGAGCCTGAGCTGCTGTAATTTGGGGTCACTGTTAAATTATATCATCCCCAATTTCACATTTTGTTTTGGGGATTATACCACTTTCTTCCTAGTAGAACTACTCTAATAATTTGTTTTCTACAGCTTTTTTTTTTTTTTTTTATTAAAGTTGAATGAGAATTTCTGACAAAGAACGGCTCAAGCCAAATAAAGAGGAAAAGCTTAGTATGCCATTCATAGATATCCTCATCTCACTGGCTTTTTAAACATGTTGTGAACTTCTTGGCTCCTGGCCCCATTTTCCTAGCTCTTTTGCCCTAGTGAAATGTACATTCTTCAGATAAAGAGAATATTTTAAGTTATAGCTACTTCAGTGGCTAAATATGAAACCACCAATTATTGAAAATAAGGTTAGATGTCTTCATGAATGGATTGAATGGTTAGAATCGAGCCTTCTATATTTATTTAGGTATCAGCGTGTTTTCGTTCCTACTTATTTTAATTCTTGAATCATATCAGTTTTTTATTCTTGTATGTCATAAATGCAAAGACACATGAAAGAGATAAACATTTCACTTAAGCATCTTCTTATAAAGTTATATTAAATGTAGGAAATGTCTCAAAATAATTTAATGGAAAGGTAACATTTACCAAAAAAAAAAAAAAAAAAAATAGAAAGTTTGAATATAAAGGCCTTTTAAAAAAGTGTTTTCTTTGGGGCTGGGGTGTAGCAGAGTATAGCATGTGTACATACACATGACTAAAGATCCAATGATTCAAATAAATCAAAAAGTGTTGTTCTTAACATTTAAAGAACAGTTCCACAGGTGAAACTAGGGACTCAGAAAACTATCTGTCTCTAAATGTATTTATTATTCAGAGGTTTGTGTACTGAAGAATAAAGAAATCAGAACTATGGACTATCCAGTCTGAGGGCACTTTTTTTTTTTTTTGGCTAGTATCAGTAGATGACCCAGCAAGTCTGACCTTTGCTCAAATCCCCACCTGTGCCTTCCTGGCTTGCTTTATCCAACTCTGTCCCACCTCCTAATTGCTCACAGGGGCCAAGGTCCTAAAGAAATGAGAGCTCTTTTCCCCAGAAAATATCTTTTTTCAAAACCAATTTCAAGCTGACATAAGTGTTCACATGTGCAGTCTCTTTGATTTAAAATGTAATTTCTAGGCAAAATCCTGATCAGAGAGTTACAATGGGGAGAAAAATCCTACATAAACAAATAGTGGCAGCAAATCATTTTATGTGATGTGATCCACAAAGTATTCAGGGTATGGAAATTCAAACCCAAAGGTCCCCATGTACCCCACCCCCCTGGACTGCTGCCCTCTCACACAATGTCTTCAGCACTGCCATTAACTGACCTTTGGACAAAAAGTGGTTTCCTGTGATCCCCATCCTACTGGGATACCACCAAAGTGAGAATGAATCCTTCAAATGAAGCAGTCCTTGAGTGTCCTCTCATGTTGAAAGAGAAGGAAGGGAGGGAACAAGGGAAGGAGAGAAGACATCGCAGACTCCCAAGGATTCACTAGCCCAGCACAGCACCATGAATGCAGTGATAATTTTCTCTCCCACCAAGCAAGGGGACACTTCATAAAAAGTCCTGGCCCAAACACAAAGTCAGTTAAAAAAAATGAAGCCCAAGGGGGGAAACCAACAACTACCGTTGTAGTAATGAGAGTATAAGAATAATAAGAAAATTATTGGACTTGATTTCTTTTTATTTTATTACAATATACAAACACAAACTTTCTTGAGCCAGTTTTCTTCAAGAGGGATTCTTTCACTGGCACTCTATTTGAGCCACCCTTTAATGTATAGCAGGGACAAAACACTGTTATCTTTCTGAAAAATGCTCTAAGAAATCCAGAGACAAGTGAAATTCAATCAGAACTCACTTGTTTTACTGAATATAGTTCAAGGACAGAATGAGCTGCAGAATAATAATGAATTATATGCCTCAAGAATTTTAGCATTTACCTAAAATAAGTTATTGGTCCACTGAACCACACTTAGAACTTTATTTTTAAAACTTCTCATGTTTATTATTCATTTTTAATATTAGTTACCATATTCACATGAGTTCGTTGAGTGGCATGCCAAACTACTGGAAAATTTGTTAACATTTAATTGAAAACCAAAAAATGCTTACCTTTCTAATAAACAAAAAAGGAGTTATTTCCTGGCTAATAATCACATACCAATAGCTTTGAAGAATTCATGACAATTCATTTATTACAAAAGAAAATCCTATTTTAGAATCATTGCATTTTTAAGATGCTTTAGTATAGGTACATTGTAGCCAATTAAAAAAGTTTCATTGCCTTTTTAAATTTTAAACAATGACATTTTCTAGAATTAGGGCAATGGAATTTTGAATATTTGCATGAACAATAGTAATAAATTATTTTCCTCCACATGTCATTTTCTTCTGGGAAACTCAAGAAACTCATGCTTTTTATTACTTTTTTTTTTTGTACTGAGGATTGAACTCAGGAGTGCTTTACCGCTGAGCCACATCCCAGTCCCTTTTCTATTTCTTACTTACAGACAGCATCTCACTAAGTTGGGTAGAGCCTCGCTAAGTTGCCGAGGCTGACATTAAACTTGGACCCTCCTGCCTAAGCCAACCAAGTCACTAGGATTGCAAGTGTGTGCCACTGCACCCAGTTAATTATTACATAAGTTTTGGCAGCGAATTTTGTCTTTAATAAGGTTAGAAAAACAGACAAAATTTTGTTTCAACATATCTCATTAGACTGGAACTTTTTGAAATATTTTCATTGTTGCCCTCCACAATATATCATTTCTATTAAGGAAAAATAAAATGCCAAATTATGACTAAAGATTATCGAGACATTTCTTATATGTTGACTACATACATATATAATTCAGCTCTCTTAAAGAAAAAAGTTCTAAGACCTAGTTAAAATCTACTATTCCCATGGCTACCTATTTAGTAATACTCCCTCAAAATTCATCCTATTTATTCAACACTGTGAAATTTTAATTCTTAAAAGTGCAAAGTCCAAGATGCTTGAACAATGCTTGAATGCACTGGTCTGTACCATCTGGGTAGCAGTTTTGTCTTATCATACTTATAAACTGTCTCTGCAATTAGACTGCAGACTTCTTGATAGTAAGGGTCTTTTTCTATCCGCAAAACCTAACATAGAAATTTATATAGAATAAAATGTAGGTATAATGGATATGATATAGAATAGCAAACACCTCACGTTAACACTGAGTCCTGGACGTGAAGGTTTCCATAGCCAAGGGCTTAGAAGTGACAGACAACAGTAAACTGAAGACAATGGTAAAATTACATTTTGGGGCATCAAATAATGCTAGATTCCTTGTCCAAAGCCTTAGCCAAGAGGAGACACTTGTGAAAAGATGTATGAATAATTTTTAAAAGCCACTTTTAAAGCAGTAATAAACATTTTAAGAGTAGGGAAGGTTGAGTCACATGCTCACTCAGGATCTCCTTGGCAAAAGTATGCACACTTTACACACAGGAGGGCACTGCTGGACATTCTGGTTCTGCTCATTCTAGAGCTTGTAATAGTTTCTCAAGTTCTAGAACACTAAGAAAACCAAGATCTTATAAAATCTATAAAACTACAACATGTAAACAAGATCCCCAAAAGCCGGCACTTTCTTAGAAACACATTTCATAGGCACTATATTAATAAATCTATATATGAGAGGTGGGTTTTAGTACGTTTATCCTCCACTGTATTCTTCCCTGACAATTAAGTCAATTCATTCACCCAATCACTGATTTGGCATTTATTTTCTAAATACTGCAAGATGAGCCCTGGGTTAGACCATCAGAGAGAAATGGTGAATGCAATGTGGTTCTTGCCCTAAAGAAATGTAGTCACACTCCACAATGTACAGAAGAATTGGTGCTATTTACCTATTCAGATTTCACAAATCAGAGAAGAAATTTTTCCTTCATGGTCTCAATCAACATTCTGGATCTTGTAGACCTAATGTTCTCCCTTCTAGAGTCAAACACCACCAATGCCTCTTTTGCTTTTAACTTTATTTGGCAAAGCAGCACTGCATAAGCTGTGCAGAATCCAGCACACAGCTTACACAGCATGTTAGATTCATATACATTATCAGCAGCAAACTAGAAACAGAAAAAACAATACTGAACTACAAGTCTCCTATTGGTTTTAGAGAGAGAGAGAGAGGGAGATGGGGAGAGGGAGAGAAAGGGTGGGGGGAACTATGTCAGTTATGTCCAATCTGAACAACTGAGTGTTGATAGGACATTACCTGCCATCTTCTTAAGTTTCAGTATTTACAATGCCTAGTTTTAAGGTAACAAAGCAGCTGATTGTATCTACAACATGCTATTCTATGATACCACATCAAAAGCTTTAAAAAGAAAGCTCATCTCTATTTTCTTAGTAGTCTCTAATAGACATCCAAATACCAAGAATCTTAACTTGTGAATGGTGGTGTTATCTGATGCACAAAAGAAATCTCATAAATTAATATCAGAATAGAATTAAGTGTCCAAGAAAAGAAAATTCACTCCTCAAAATCAATTCACAAACTAACTGTTTCATTTTGCAGAAACCCTTCTTTTAATATTTTAAAGTAAAACGTGGGCATGTTAAAGTAATAACACACAGATTTATACTTTGTATCCTTCCTCTACCATTTGGCTCTGTGCCTCTTCGAAGAATTAGAAGACCCTACAAAACCACAAATTTCATGCTGAAAATAACAGTGTAACAAAGTCCAAAACAAGCTGTGATGCTATTGGTTTTCAAAAAGCTTTAAGGACTGAGATGAGCGATCCACTGCAATATTATAGACTGGTCAAGCTGATGTTGCTTTACAGCTCATCCCTAGGGGGAGAAAAGAGAACAAAAATGGTTAAGTACAAGTCACATACTATAAAATTTGGCTTTCTAATAGTTTAGATACAACACTCAAGTCAGCAAAAATGCACCGATCCCCAAGCAATGTAGTAAAAGAAATAAAAGCACAAACATGCCCATGTCAAAGCAAAAATGGAAGTCAGTCATTTCAAACATCTTTCATGCTACTCCAAAATGAGTACAAAGCCTAAAGAGCCTGAGTTCTTTATCTTTACTTCTAAAGATAGATTTCTTCCTTCAAGATAAAAAATTCAGAAAAATTATGACTTCTAGATCTAGGATCATTTTGCAAATGCTATTTGTCATAAAATAACAATTTTTTGATTATTCAGAATTTTTTTATTGTTACATTCACAAAAGTGGACAAAAGTGTGGTCTTTTGCTTAGAATGTCTGTTAGCGATTCCAGAGTGGGTCAATATCAACCCAAACTCTCTGGGAGAAAGTGCATCATCTGTAGGTATAGTATACCTGTCAGCTGACTTCATAAGGCAGCTTTATCAGCTCCAAAAGAAGCCATTCACTCAGCCAGGTGGAGCACTGTGCCAGCAACTGCCAGTGAGAGGAAGGAAGGAATAAAAATGCAGTCTAAAATAAATTGAATGGTATATAAATTCTACCTCAATAAAATTATTCAAAGTAAAAAAATAAAACATCAAGAAAAGCCTGAAACCCTCATATCTGAGGGTAATCTGAGTGACAAAAACAATGTTAAACACTCAAGTACTTTAGGGGTAAAGAAACATTCTCTTTGCAATTACATCTCAAATGATTCAGGGAAAAAAACCCTTACATATACATGTATAACAAATGAAGAGGGATCAGAAGGCACAAGTGGAAAAATGGAAATAAATGGTCAGTGACTCTGGACATTCAGACGTTTAGTTTTGAAAAAGTTGCTAAAATGAATTTGAAGGGAAGTTGAACAGTTTATATTTCATAGGTTAAATGGTCTATTTGGTTTTTAAACTAAATTTTATAAATAGTACAAGAAAATATCTTAAAAATAACTACTCCCATAAGCTGCCTTTATTTTTCTTATTTATTTAGGGCGGGGGTGGGGACTGAACCCAAGGGCGCTTAACCTCTGAACCACATCAGAGCCCTTTTTATTTTTGAGACAGGGTCTTGCTAATTTGCTGTGATTGACCTCAACTTTTAAGAATTTCTTCTTGTCTCAGCCACCCAAGTTGCTAGGATTGCAGGCATGTGCCACGGGGCCTGACCAGTATTGGATTATCTTTTAAATGATATATTAATTCTGTCTCTCTTATAACATGTCCTAATAACAGCTTATAATTCTCATAAAACAGCTTTTACTTAAGATTCATACTAACATTAAAATAGTTAGTCTACAAAAAGTTCACTTGCAAACTGTTCTGTTAACCAATTAAAATAAATTAACTGTGCTTTATAAAATATGATTTTTTTTTTCAGTGCTGGGTATTGAACCCAAGCCACATACATGCTAGACAAGTGCTCTACCACTGACTACACTCCCATTCAACAACATACTATATGTTTTTTGGGGTTTTTTTTAGTTGAAGTTGGACACAAAAACCTTTATTTTATTTATTTATTTATTTATTTTATATGGTGCTGAGGATCAAACCCAGGGCCTCGCACGTGCTAGGCAAGCACTCTACTGCTGAGCCCCAACCCTAGCCCCAGCATACTATATTTTAAAAAATAATTTGTATTTTATTTACCTGTTACAGACATTAAAGATAATATAAATAAATTCTAAGGTCCCAGCAATAACTTAGTATGTTTCCAAATAATTTTCTTTATTTAAAAAAATTCTTTAATAAAGGAAAGGAAATTAGATTTATAGAACCAAATTTTAAAATTTAGGGTACCAGGAAAAGCCAAAAAATTTGTTGCCAGAGCATGTACAACCTTGTCATATCCCAATACTCCAAAATCCATGCAATGTTAAGCTATTAAATTTTTCCTAATGGGCTGGGGATATAGCTCAGCTGGTAGAGAACTTGCCTTGCATGCACAAGGCCCTGGATTCGATCCCCAGCACCAAACAAACAAACAAACAAACAAAAAAACAGCTCAAGGTTCAAAATTCTGCATAGCCATAAATTTCTTTATGGAAATTTGACTTATATGCATGGGTCATTTACAGTAAAAAAAAAAAAGTACTGAGCTGTGTGTGGCAGTATATGCCTATATTACCAACTGTCAAGAGGCTGAGCAGGATGATCACTGAAAGCCTGGAGTACATTACCAGCCTACCAGCCTTGTCAACAGTGTGACTACCATCTCAAAAAAAAAAAAAAGAAAGAAAAGAAAAAAAGAGTTAACCAAATATGTGCTAAATATATTAATAACTGTATAAATTTATTACATTAGGTTTAAATTACTTCACCCTAAACATCTAGTCATATTCTTTTAAAAAAAATTTTTTTTGAGGGGATACTGGGGATTGAAATCAGGGACACTCAACCACCGAGCCACATCCCCAGCCCTATATTGTATTTTATTTAGAGATAGAGTCTCACTAAGCTGCTCAGTGCTTTGCTATTGCTGAGGCTAGCTTTGAACCCATGATCTTCCTGTCTCAGCCTTCCAAGCCAATGGGATTACAGGCATGCGCCACTATGCCAGGCTAGTCTTATTCTTTTTTTTTTTTTATAAAGAATTTCAATATTTATTATTTTTAGTTTTCAGCGGACACAACATCTTTGTTTGTATGTGGTGCTGAGGATCGAACCCGGGCCGCACACATGCCAGGCGAGCGCGCTACCGCTTGAGCCACATCCCCAGCCCTAGTCTTATTCTTTATTAAGAACAAATAAAAAGGTGTACTATCAGGAAATAACAATCAAAATCTAGGAATGTTTCCTAATAATTTAATGAATTTTCTAAGGTAATATAAACTTTGTATGAAATTATTATGAGAAACATTTTTTAAATGTCATAATGCTATAGGATATGTGGAGAAATAAAAAAGGACTATATATATTCTAGGACTTATACTCTCGATCTTAAGAAATGTGCAGTTCAGGGATGGGGCTGCAGCTCAGTGACAGTGTGCTTGCCTAGCATGCGTAAGGTCCTGGTTTCCGTTCCCAGCACCAAACAAAACAAAAAAGCACAATTCATCACAACATCTTTTTCATATATGTGTGGCACTTTAAGAAGACATCAATAAATAAAATGAGTACAGAAGGATAACTTTGACACATTCCTCAGTTTCATAAATCAGAGATGGACTTATTGCATTGACTCTGGGACTATTAAAAACAAAAATTAAATAAAACATTTACCAGGAGAGGAACAAAATATTGATTCCTACATACTTGCTAAGTTGCTTAGGCCCTTGCTAAGTTGCTGAGGCTGGCTTTGAACTTGTGATCCTTCTGCCTCAGCCTCTCAAGCCACCGGATTACAGGTGTACAATTTATTTTTAAAATACAGTTTGTCATATTTCCTTGGCAAAAATTGGGTCTCACTATCATCCAAGCACTGCAACTAGCCCTGGAAAGCTAGAAAAAGGAGGAGGACACGCCGGTGATGTGTCAGAAAGACACTATGATGAATTATTAATTAAACCTGAGCAAACAACAGAAATCATATAGCCTGGCAAGAAGCTGACCAAAAAAACTTTGTAACAATTTTCAAATGTGAGATGGGCATTTAGAAAATAGTGTTGATATTGTAGCTATCAATTCACTTCTTTTTATCCTTACTACCATTACCTTGATTCAGGCCATCTCATTTCACCCCTGAATTGCTATGAACATCTGTTTCCGACTAGTTTTGTCCCTTTCCAATTTACTTTCTACGTAACAGCCAGACTTGTTTTTCTGGAATATAACTCAGATAATTTCACTGCCTGGTTTAAACACTTCAGTTACTCCCTGCTGAGTCTTCCTACCATACACTGTTAACTGCCTGTTGGTCATGGTCTTGGTTTGGATTATATGACTATAAGCTCTATAAGCTTCAATGTTAGAATGAAAGAGTCCTGGAACTCAGTGCCTTCCATAGTGGGAAGCATGAATGAATAACATTCATGAATGTTATTCAGAATGTCCTTAGCACTGACATATAAAAATCTGCCATTGAAATACATATATGTTACCTGGGGGGAAAAAAAAGAAGTCAGTCCTTAGTCAAGTACAGTGGCATACATCTGTAATCCCAGTTATTTGGGAGGGTGAGGCAGAAGGAAACTGAATTTGAGGCAAGACTGGACAACACAGGGAGACTACATAAGGGAAAAGGAGGGGAGTGGGTGGGGAAGGGAGGGGAGGGAAACCTCTTTATGAAGAAAAAAGAAAACAGTGTATACATAGGGGCTGGGGCTGTAGCTCAGCGGCTGAGCACTTGCCTAGCATATGAGGCACTGGATTCAATTCTCAGCAGCATCATTTAAAAATAAATCAAGAGTGACTGTTTGAGATGGGATGTCTGAGCTCTTGAAACTGCCCCTTCATTGTCATGAGTGCCAGTAACTACTGCCTACCATTCCTCAGTTGAAAGAGCATCTCAGGAGGTACTGGACAAAGTGATTCTGCAGATCCTGAACTTCTGCCACAAGTGTGACTGATGGGAATGAACTTGCTAGCACCTGTTCTGGGTTGCTTGTGAACACTTTCTCATTTCCCAAATTAAAACATGCAGTTTTTTAAAATAAATAAATAAATAAATGTATTAAAAAAAATACATATATAGAATTAGGGCCAGGGCCAGGAAGGACCTTAACAAGCGAGGGCCCAGGAGCTTCAACTACATTAGCTTCATGGTAAATCAACCTCTGGTTATAAAAATAAAATGCCTTTTTATAATTCATTCCTCATTATATTTTAGGTCAGATGTGTTCAATACTTTATAAATTGAAACATTTTAAATTTATAAATCTGAGCTTTTACTTGATATCAAATTTCAGTTATTTCAGTAAAATAGTTGTCCCTTTTATAAACAATGGTGATGTTTATACAATTATATAATTTTTTAAGCATACTAGAAGCAAAGTGAAGGCACGTTGTTATTAGCTGTTAATAACTATATCCGATGCTAACCAAAAAGACTGGTAGTTTTTAAAATGATTTTTCTAAGAAATAGCAATACTCCAGGACAGAATTCAAAGGAAGCAGCTAAGCTATAAAAGGAGAGGATAAAATATAATTTTTAGTGAGATATCTAGGAAAAGGCCAAGTTGAATTTAGTTAAAACACTATTTTAACAACTGAGTTAGATTCATTATCATTTTTACAATTAACACACATATTTTTTACAAAAAAATGGCTTTCTTTATAGAAAACAAATCAAGGTCTACCAAGCTTAAATTATCATTTACTTACTAAGAAAACAGTTATCTTAAAAACAGAATATTTTTGTCAACTGAAAATAGATTCTAAGACAAGGAAAATGTAAAGCCTTCCTTATAAGCTGGAGTTCAACTTCAAGCATTCAGTTAATGGCACTCCCATGTACTAGTCACATTCCCTCTCACCAAAGGGAGGAGGGAGGGAAGAAAGGCGAAGAGAAGGAAAAGTTTTGGCCTCAAACAGAATATTCAGATTTTGCTGTAACATAAATTAAAAGCAGGGCCAGCTACTGTGGGGGCATGTCTGTAGCCCAGCTACAAAGTTCAAGGCCAGCCAGGCAACTCAGTAAATCCTGTCTCAAAAATAAAATTTAAAAGGGACTGGCAGTATGGATCAGTGGTAGAGTGTTTGCCTAGCATGCAAGAGGTCCTGGGTTTAATCCCCAATAATGCCAAAACCAAACAAAACCAAAAAACACCACTGAACAAAAGCAGGCATTATCTTCACAATGAACTTCACACATGCCATGAAGACTGTTACCCTGTATGGGGCTGGCCTCTGGGTGGGTTTGTGAGACTTGGGCATTTACTGAACAGCTTCTATAGAATCCTTCCCCTCCCCAGGAATATAGCCAGAATAGCTTAAAAATTGGCTGGTCTAGTATACAGAACAGTGAAAACTTCACTCAATGGTGAATCTGAAATGATGGCTGGATGTGAAACAGACACAGGCTCTCATACATCTATGAATTGAATGAAAGAAGGAAATCAAGCCAAAACTTAGAATGTCCTCTCTGGAATTCTGACACTTTCAAAAACTGAGATAACTGTATTTTTCTCCTTCTTGCTTTTTGCAACAATGCAACAGAGTGAATGAGACTGGAAATGATGGTCCTCTTTTTCCAGACCAAAGCCTCTGTTTCCATGCCCACGCAGCAGCTATAAAAATGATCTACACATATAGAAACAGAGTGGCATATAATGAATAAAATAGCCTTAGAAAGTACTGAGCTGGGGTTGAACATCTCTTAAAAAAATAAAAAGAAAGAAGAAACACCATGTGCCAATCAAGTCTTACCCATCGCTTCCCAAAGATATGAGGTAAACCAAAAGAAGGGCAGACCATGCAAACTTTTTCACATGTTTAATGTAATGATTTTTTGATGTTTTAATGGAGTAGCATGAAGGTGGCAATCACAAAAACTGCTTCTGTACTCTAATGTCTTAAAATCCACACCCTTTCACCTTGCATGTGTGGAAGAAGTAAGAGCAGAAGAGAAAATCACTTCCACCTGGACCACTGCTTCTCTTTATCTGTTAAAGGCACATATATCACTCCCATAAGAGGTTTCATTTTGACACTGCCATCTTGTAGCTTGTCGTACTGCTCCAACATTTGATTTCCACCTGCAGGACCAACTGGCAATATCAATCTTCCACCAGGCTTTAACTGGTCTATTAGCTAAAAGAAAAAAAAAAAAAAACATAAGCACTTGAGTTTATGTTAACAATAATTTGACATCACTATAAGCAATGTTCAGTGTGCAGAAAGCAGAAGTGGGCTTTGTTTAGCATGCATTCTTCGGGATTAGTTTCAGAACATCTCAAACCACATTACTCAAGCCCCTTATATAAAATGGCACAGTATTTGCATATAACCGATGCACAACCTCTCTTATATTTTATCTCACTTTTAAAATATTTTCTTTGAGACATGGTTTTGTTGCCCACGCTGGCCTGACTTAGCCTCTCAAGTAGCTGCGACTGCAGGTGTGTGCCACCATGCTCAGCTTCTCCCATATACATTAAATCATCTCTAAATTACTTATAATACCTAACCCAAGGCCCACATACCACTTCATTTGCTTGGATTCAGAATAGTACTTGGGATACAGCAAACTCAAGTTTTGATTTTTAGCAGTTTACATTATTTTCCCCAAATATTTTCTCTTTTCTCCATGGTTGGCTGAATCTGAGAATGCAGAACTGGCAGATACAGAGGGGATAATTATACATACTTGGAGTGTTTTACCACGACTCAACTCACTCATTTACCTCTCAGCCTCCCCTACTAAACTACAAGTTCCTTGAGGATAGGGACTGTGCCTCTGGCCCAGCACCTAACAGCACCTGGTACAACTGCAGTGCTCAACATGTCTGAACTGAACCACCTAATAGAGCTAGCCTCTTGAGAAGGCCAAGGACAAAGCCGAAAATTCTGACTGTATGCCTGTTTCAGATCTTTGTGAGTTGGAAAGGGGTGTTAAGTGTAGAAAAATCAGCAAGAAATCCTGTCCTATTATTGTAGAATCTAGGGCATCATTGCAGCAAAGATAAGGAAACTGCAGTGACACGACTGAATTTAGGATTACTGGCACCATTATGAGGGAAGGTAGAGCTAGAATGCATTAGAATGAGGACATCTCTATCAAGGAAGAACTGAAAAGCCCCTCTAGGCGGAAAATATTTAAATCATATGTTGCCATTTGACTATAGCCTTACATACCACCATTATTCAAAAACAATAAAGAAGACTGACTTTAGATAGAATTACCCCAGGGAAGGGTGCCCTCAATTAAACTTTGGTTGACAAAAGTCTATTTTAATTTTTTCATTTTAAGTTTATCAAAGAAATACTAAATTTTAAAACTTACAGTAAAAACAGCAGATGGCTTCTCGCCAGACCCAGTCTTATTCCCTAAATCCAGTCATTTTAAATCCTTTTAGTCTGGTCTTCTGGTATTTACCTTTATATTTCAAAATACATGCTAGATAAGGATTGAGATTTAATATACAGTCTACTTCCTTCCTCCAATTTAACCAATCATAATTTTCTTTAAAGCCATTTTGAGTTATGTGTACATACAGTTTCTTCCTGAGCCATGAGGTACCCAGTGATTGCTTCCTTTCTTATATAATAGTTTTATTTTCCCTCTAACTAAAATTGAAGTCTTTTCTTTTTCATTTACTTAATTTGTAACTGTCTCTAAATCTTTCTATTCTTCAACAGCTTCTTGATGAAAATTTCACTTCTAAGAGGTGCCTTTTTTGGTCTTGTCTGTAGAAAGGTCTAGATCTATTGGGACTTGCCTGTACAATAATCCTGGGAACTCCTATTACCTCTGACCAAGATACTCTACTTCCCAGATCCTATGGCTTTCTCTCTTTGGTTTTCCCTACTGTCTCTCTCTTCTATCATTTCCCATCTTTTGATGAAATTATTAAAGCACTTCCTCCAGAAGCATTTTGTGAAATAGTGCATAAAATGTGAGACAGATTGAGCTTTCCAAGTCTAAAGCCATTTTTTATTCTATTCATTTGGTGATAATGGGTTCAAAGAGAAGTCACGGTTGGAAATCACTTTTAGCTCCAAATATGATGGTTTGCTTCTCTGACATGTTGATTCTAACACTGTTATTTTGCAGTCTGAAGTCTTTCTTCTTGCCAATCCTTAATAGGTATCTGGTTTTGTTTTTCTGGAAACTTTTAGAATCTTCTTTTTATCCTGAAAATTCTGAAATCTGTGATGATATTGTAGTTCTTCTTTCTTATTTTAAAAATTCATTAGCGAGGCATTCAGTAGATCTTTTCAGATTATAGAATTATGTTTTTTCTGTTTTGGTGAAATTTCTTACTTAGGGCTGGGAGCTGTTTCTCAAGAGTTTTCAGCAGCAAACCTTCTTTTTTTTAATATTTATTTTTTAGTTGTAGTTGGACACAATACCTTCATTTTATTTATTTTTATGTGGTGCTAAGGATCGAACCCAGGGCCTCATACGCAACAGGCGAGTACTATACCGCTGAGCCACAACCCCAGCCCTGCAAACCTTCGTTTCAGACTTACGCTTCCTCTGATATCCAACGTCCCAATGGCTCCAATTCCTAAACCTTTTTAGTACTGTGCAGAGCAAACTGCTTCTGCATTGATAGTCTTCTCTGTAATCTGCTTGGTTTCTGCTTTCTCTACCTTTCTGAGTCAGCTATAACTCCATCTATCACAGACAGTAAGGAGTCCACATTGCAGGTATGATCTTCTGTTCAAAAGAGTATGGAATTTGTGCTTCTGTTTGTTTTCCTAGTTTTTTTAGGTGGTATTTCAGGGGAAGCATAAACATTTTACTCTGCTCACTTAAAACTGGAAAGCCCCTTTAGCACATCTCTTAAGTTTAATCAGATGTCTACAGATTCCTATACTACTGCAAGTGCTACAACAATTAAATTCACATTGAGCTAAATCTAGAACTGTCCTTCAAGATCATTTCAGGGTCTTAATGTGAAAGATGAGTATTATACCCATCCTGTTCATTTACACATAATTCTATTTGAGATTTTAACTCTTCACTGGAGGCTGCCAATATATTAAAAGAATAGTTAAAAACTTTTCATGTGTTCATGTTAAAATTCTTGCACTGTTCATTTATAACGTATAATTTCTATATATATTAATAGTTCAATTAAAATGTGTTAAAATCACTGGTTTAGTAATTTTTTTAAACAGATAATACCCAGAAAGATTAAGTGATTTTCCTAAAGTCATTCAGTCAGTAAGCAGTAAATCAATGACCAGAATAAATCCCCCAGTGTTCACCATTTTTTTTGGGGGGGTGGGGTGGGGTATGGAACCAGAGCACAGGCTATGCAAGGACTCTACTATACTAAGCTACATCCCTGGCCCCAATTTTCATCTTCTAACTAATCTAAACATGAGACAAGTGCAGTGGCATATGCCTGTAAATCTCACTGACTCAGGAGGCTGAAGCACATGGATGGTAAGTTTGAAGCCAGCTTTATTGAAACCCTGTATTAAAAGAAAAAAGGGGTTGGGAATATAGCTGTTCGTAGAGCGCTTGCTAAACATGTATAAGACCCTGGGTTCAATCCCCAGCACCACACCAAGAAAAAGAAAGAAAAAAAGGGCTGGATGTGGCTCAGTGGTAAAGTTCTCCTAGATTCAATAAAATAAATACACATGAAAAAACAAAACAACCCTTTCTAGATTGAGAGTGGATAAAACTTTTCGACCCTGGTTATCCAACCAAGAATTACATAAAACTTATGTGTAATAGAAACCTGGTATTTCAGTAAATCTAACCCAAGATTCTTCTTTTCTATCATGTATATGTGTCTGTATATACATATTATGTACATACATATATATATGCTATGCTATCATAGGATTCACTTCTCTATTAAATATATTTCTAGAATGTTTTTTGAGGATATAATGTATGACGAGTATCTTCTGGTATCTCCTCTGTGCCAAACATAATCTTGCTAGTCTGGTATTTAAGAAAACACCAAACTGATTATCATGTCATGAATCCTGAGGGATTCTCCCAGTCTACTTTTGTCCTAGTTTTTTCCTTGATTAAACACTGCTTCAAATAAGATATCCATATGCTATAGTTTAGTAATTTTCATGTCATGTATACCACTATTTACACATGAAGAGGAAAATAAAAAGAATTTCAGCTAATTGTAAACAAAATGCACAAAATGAAAGTTTCGGCATATTTTGAGCATCATCTAGAAGCCATTTCTATATAAAACTTTTAGAGTTCTAGTTGAATAAAACATACAAATAGGAAAAAACAAAAATCCCAACTCACTGCCTGTGGCACAACTGGGGCTGCAGCTCCAACATGAATTGCATCGTAAGGGGCTTCTGCAGCATATCCCATTCTTCCATCTCCCACTGAAAGAGAAACAAGTTGTGCATCAAAAATCTGTTTACATCAAACCTGGCATAAAGAATTACAGTATAGGAGGTTTAAATGGGGGAATCATAAATTTTTGAATAAATGAAACTGCAATAGTTGATATGAAAAAATAATACAATTGGATCCCTACCCTCACAAATACACAAAAATCAATGTCAGGAAGATCAAAGACCCAAACAGGAAGAGCTAAAATAATAAATAATAATAGAAGGATTTATCTTCATGATTTCAGATAGCCTTAAGGACAGAAAGCACCGGAAAAACTGGTGAATCTTACTACCTTCATCTTCTTGGTCCTCTTTTAATAAATAAAAATTAAGAATTTTTATTTATTAAAAGGGGACCAATAAGATGAAAAGGCACATCATGATGGGGGGGGGGAATTATGATATGCATAAACCAACAAAGGGCTAGTCTTTAGAAAACTTGTAAATCAGGCTGGGTGCGGCAGCACACACCTGTAATCCCAGCGGCTAGGTAGGCTGAGGCAGGAGGACCTCAATTTCAAAGCCAGTCTCAGCAACTTAGGGAGGTCCTAAGCAACTTAGCAAGACCTTGTCTCTAAATAAAATACAAAATAGGGCTGTGGATGTAGCTTAGTGGTCAAGTGCCCCTGAGTTCAATCCCCGGTTTCCCGCCCCTCTCTCCCAAACAAGGGCTGGGGACATGGTTCAGGAGCTAAGTGCCTCTGGGTTCAATCCCTGGTTTAAAAAAAAATTTTAAAAGGAAAAAGACTTATAAATAAAAATCTCCAAAAAGTAATTGTTTTCTTAGTTTAAGAAAAGTGAATATATTGGGTTGGGGTTGTGGCTTGGTGGTAGAGCAGTTGCCTAGCACGTGTGAGTCACTGGATTTGATATTCAGCACCACCTAAAATAAATAAATACATTGTGTCCATGTACAACTAAAAAAAGTATTTTTAAAAAAATCCTCTGGAAAAGAAATTAAAAACTTTTCTGATACCCACCAACCAGTTGTACTCTCCCTGAAGTCAAAAGTGTTGGATCATCTTTTCTGACATTATTTATTGATTCATCTACTAGCTCTTTAATGTGATCAATTCCTATGACTTTTCCATTACATCCAACCTAGAAAAGAGAAAATAATTCAATAGCTCATTGGGTAACATTTGTATTTCTAAAGTATCACTGAAATGTTTCCTTAAAGTCATAACCTGCAATGAGAAATAAAAAATGAACTAATCCTCCAATTAGATTATTCACCATTCAGTTTATTATAAATTATTCGTCACATCAACTTTCTCAACTATAAGCCTCACTGAGAAATTATATTTAATCAATAAAGAAGCTGGAATAAATTACAAAAGCTGATAATACTGGAAAATTTAAATTTTTCTTTTTTTCTTCTTTTTGGTACCAGGGATTAAACCAGGGGCTCTTAACCACTGAGCCACATCCCCACACCTTTTTTATGTTTTATTAGAGTCAGGGTCTCACTAAGTTGCTTAGGGCCTCGATAAGTTGCTGAGGCTGGCTTTGAAAGTAATCTTCCTGCCTCAGCCTCCCAAGCTGCTGGGATTACAGGCGTGTGCCACTGTGCCTGGCTGGATTTCTAATTTTTAAATCCAGAATTTTGAAGTAAGATTTAACTACCAATATTTAATGGTACTATAATAATTTTTACTTAAATTAACCTAAAAGTATAACTTTAAATATTAAAATTTATATAGAAATTTTGTGAGAAGGGATTCCTGCACCTGATTCTACTGCTCTTAGTGGAAAGTATAAAACACATAAAAATATGAAAAGGACTTGAGTATCAATGTTACCTGTAAAAACATTTAACTGAATAAAGCCTGTGAAGTCAGATAGGAACCTGGGTTCCTGTCTACATTTCACCACTTAAAACTACATAACTTTAGCAAATAAACCTCTCATTCTATGAATCAGGTTCCTTGACTATGAGAAAGAAAGGGGTATCTATCCTATAAAGGATATGAGGATTAGAAAAATAATACAGGAAAAGCACTTAAAATACTATTTAGCATGTGTAAAAAACATTGATATCATTTTAAAAGAAGGTATTCAAATTTAAACTTTTAAAATGAATATTCCTGGGACTGGGTTATGGCTCAGTGGTACAGCGTTCACCTTGAATGTGTAAGACCCTGGGTTGGATTCTTAGCACTTCATAAAAATAAATACTTGAAATACAGGTATTGTGTCCAACTACAACTAAAAAATAAATATTTAAAAAAATTAATATTTCTGGGGCTGGGTTTGTAGCTCAGTGATAGAGCACTTGCCTAGCATGTGTGAGGCACTGGGTTCAATTCTTAGCATCACATGTAAATTTTTAGCTCCATTAACAAGTAATAAAAATATTTAAAAAAACGAATATTCCTTTAAAACCATTAACATGACAAGTATAGATAACACGTCACTAATTAAGTGCTATTTCTAACCTTTTGAACAAAAATCTCTAATATCTCATAGCAAGAACACGACTCCACAAAACAACATCTGAAAAATATACAAGATCTCATTATGTGCCAAGTACTATTCTAGATGCTTAGGATACACCAATGAAAAAAAAATTCAGACAAAATTCCCATCTCCCTGGAGCTCAAATTCTAGTGGATCTGATGATTATAAACTTATGGCAAGTTACACGGAATCTAGGAATCTAGTTCAAGACAGATCCATAAATCCTCATTTCAACAAGACCCAAATCTTCTACCTAGTCACTGGCCACAAGATTTCATATAACCAATCTGATTTGATTATCTAAGCACTGATGAATCTTTATGGTGCTTTAAAGGAACCACAACTTACACTGTGTACAGGCATTTACCAGAAAAAAATATGGTAATAAAAGCTGAAGTACAACATTAAATTAGGTAGAGGGAAGTGATGGAAGAGAAGAGGAGGGGATATAGGGATAGGAAAGACAGAATGAAACAGACATTATTACTTTATGTGAATATGTGACTGCATGACCAATATGATTCTGCATATCATAGTCATGATATGATTCTGCATATCATGACCAATATGATTCACTCAGAAAAATGAAAAATTATATCCCATCTATGTATATCAAAGTGCATAAATGCATTCTACTGTCATGTATAACTAATTAAAACAAAACAAAACAAAAAAACACTTAAAGCTGAAGTACCATAAACAAGGCACTTTTTTCCTATTGTAAAAGAAGCTCTACCTTCATTTCTAATAAACCTGTAGGAGTATCTGAAAACTGAATTGACTTTACTCCTTTCTGCCAGATGTGCACTTGGAAAAATGTAGTTTGGGAGCTCCCAGCTGCCGTTTTGGGGTCACTAGGGGTACTATCTGATAATGAAGCTAACATATGGAGGAAACAAAGGCAAAGCAAGAACCAGAGAGAAACACATTGTCAGTTACATCTGGTCTTCTTTTAAATCTACCCACACAAGAAGCCAGATATACCCCTCAACTTTTCCATTATATAACCAAAGTAAATTTCCTTTCAGTTCTGCCAGTTTGGTTAAATGTTCTGTTACTTATAAGAACAACAACAAAAACAAAAATCCTAAGAGATACATATTCCAGATGCTATGTTAATGGAACAAAAGGCAAAGAAATCAATCCACTGGTGAAAAAAATATAATCAGATAATATACTTCTGTTAGGATCAGAATGAAAAATAAAGTTCTTACCATACGTGCAAAACATGCAGTAAGGATTCCACTTCCAGATCCTACATCAAGAGCTTTAGCTCCTTCATGTAATTGATCAAATAGAAGTTCTAGTGCATATGCATGCTGCCAAGAAAAAACAAACCAAATAATGTTTTCAAGACTCTTATATACCATGGTATATAAAGTTGCCATTTTTTAAAATCAGTCTTTCTACCATTATCTTAAATTAACATAATGAAAACATACTTATATATACTTATTTCTACATAAGAAATTTCTATATAAGAAAACTCGGATTAGAATTATTACATTTCAGTAATTTTAGATACTCATTGTATGAATTTTTAAAATTTAATAATTTAATTAAAATACAAAGTCAAAAGATAAAAAAAGGAATTACAAGGGAAAAAAAAATCCCCATCCCATTCCCAAGTAACATTTTACTCCCTAAAGGCAGCCAATGTTATCAGTTTCTTGTGATTCCTTTGAAAACTAGTCACTCTATGAATATACAGACAAATACATATTCATTTTCATTCATTACCTTTTTTAAAAAAAATTTTTGGTAGTTGTAGATGAAACAGCGTGCCTTTATTTTAAGTGTTTCATTTTCTTGTGTGTCGTGCTAAGGATCAAACCCAGTGCCTTACACATGCTAGGCAAGTGCTCTGCCACTGAGCTACAGCCTCAGCCCCTCATTCTGTACATTTTGAAAGGCCATTCACATCAATACTTAAACAGCTGTTTAAGTATTATAACAACACTCACGAAGAAAAATATATGTTAGTTCCAATCTATTTTCAGATGAGATAAATTTTTCTAGGTATAAGAAAACAATATAATAATTTTTATAAAACTCTTACAAAGTATATCTATCTATATGTTAAATTCCTAGAAGTAAAATAGAAGGGTTGGAAGATATATTTATGTTTTACACACACACACACACACACACTACACACACACACACACACACACACTAAACCAAATGATATTGGTTATTCCTTGGACCAAACCAAGAAATAAAGACTTCCCTACCCTACTGTCTTTATACACTTACATTTTAGAACTTTTCCAGAATAAAATTGAAAATAATGATATTTCAAAATCCAACCTTAAATGCCTGGTGTCTTCACAGTTTAAAATGATTAAATCCAGTTGGAACAAATATCTTGACTACCAAACTTGTTTGATAAAAATATACATCCACATATATATTCATAGTCCTTAGTAATACATAAATGCATACTTGTATGTATGTGTGTGTGTGTATAAATAAGGACCAGGAGAAACTATTTCCAAGTAACAAATACAGAATAAATGATGAACTTAGAAAACAAGTCTTTGGGCAACCATCTCAGTAGTAACTGATCTAAGCAAAAAATTGTAAATGGATGCTAAAACTAGTGAATTAGCATAAGACAGTCTCAAAGTGTTCACCTATAAATTATAAAAGGAAAAAAAAGTAGCTTGACAATTGGGTTCAGAAAAAAAAGTTTGTTTTTATTTTCTCCCCCCCCCCTTTTTCCCCCCATTTTTACAAGACTGGGGATCTAAACCACAGCCTTGTACATGCTAGGCAAGTTCTCTGTCACTGAGTTAGATCCCGTCCAGCCTGAAAAAAAACTTTCAGTGGAGGAACCTGGTTGACACTAAATCAGAGTTAACATCACCAGAAAAAGGACATATTGACATCTCATGGCTCTGCTAAGATATATCACTACCAGGATATGCCAAGAGAAAATGCATAACTCATCCATATTGAATTATGAGAAAACACAGAAACCCAAGTTGAGGGATACAATAGTAAAATAACTGGCATGTATTCATAAAAATTTTCAAAGCCATAAAAACAAGATGGATGAACTGTTCCTCAGTGTTGTTTTAAAGAAAATTAAAAAGACCAAACAATCGAATTAAACTCATAATCTGCAATTTTCTTTTCCTTTAAGGTATATTATCTGAATAATAGATAAAATCTAAATAAAGTCTGTAAATTGGCTAACAGTATCACATCAATGTTAAAATCCAGATTTTGATAAATGTACTGTGAATATATAAAGAACATCCTTATTTTTAAAGGTAAGTAGCATTATGCTTATTATTTACTCTCAGAGAATTCAGAAAAAGGGGAAATGTGTATACACACATGTATATACATATGTATACATACATATATAAATATGGAGGGCACATAGAAAAAAAACAAATGATAAAGCAAATGAAGTAAAGTAACATTTGAAACAGATGAAAGATGTTCAGTAACATGCTAGTCCCATATTTCTAAGTCTAAAATATAGTCAAATTCTTAAAAAAAAAATTATCAAAAAATAGGCAATGTCGAAATAAAGGATAGAATAGAATTCACCATTCTACACAACTATTTTAGATGATAAAAGCCAGAATACTGGTTACTTTGGGGTTGAGTGCTGACTAGAAAGGGACACAGGGAACTTTCTGAGGCACTACTGTCCTATATCTTGAACTGGGTGGTATACACATGTCAGCATTCATCAAGATGTGCTTAAGATTTGTACACTTCAAACAACAATACAAAAAAATTTAAAGACTACTTATTCCAATCATTAAAAGTAGATGATCGGAGCCGGGCACAGTGGCACACACCTGTAATCCCAGTGCTCGGCAGGCTGAGGCAGGAGGATCACAAGTTCAAAGCCAGCCTCAGCAACTTAGCAAGGTCCTAAACAACCTAGCAAGATCCTGTCTCTAAATTAAATTAAAAAGGGGTGGGATATAAGTGCCCCTGGGTTCAATTTCCATTACAAAAAAAAAACAATGGATGATCAGATATTATGGACCTCTTGATGGGATGCAACAGAAAAGACCATTTAAGAAGTGAATTTAAAAAAAAAAAATGTTTTTTAAAGTAACTAAACACCATAAACACCACAAGGAAACAACAGGGTTCATAGTATGGGAAATTCTATAGGATAGAAAAACTAGCTTTGTTAATAAATAAATGGTATTTAAAATAAAAAGGGGTCTATTAAAATTTAAAAAGACTAGAGGCTGTCGCTATGGCTCAGGGGCGGACTGCTTGACTGGTGCGTGTGAGGCACTAGGTTCAATCCTTAGCACCACTTAAAAATAAACAAGATAAAGGTATGGGGTCCATCTACAACTACAAAAAAATTTTTTTTTAAATATTAGAAGAGACTAAAAAGACCAAAACAAGACCAAAAATATGCAATGTATAGATTCTGTTTAGATGCTGATTTGAGCAAATTAATTGTAAAAAAAAAAAAATTTAATATATTTATTTTATTTTTATGTGATTCTTAGGATTGAACCCAGGGCCTCACACATGCTAGGCGAGTGCTCTACCTCTGAGCCACAACCCTAACCCGCCCCCCCCAACCCAAAAATTTTTAAACACATGGCAACGTATAAACCTGGACTGGGTATAATAATAAGAAACATTACTAGGTAAAATAGCATTGTGGAGTGTGTTATTAAAATCCTTGATATTTATACTAAAGTATTTAGGATGGAAGTAATGTTATTTCAGTGCCCCTGAAAGCTTAAACAATTTCTATTTAATAAGATAGTAAGTACTGTATAAGAAAATACAATAAATCAAAAACCAAAATAACTCCTATAAACTAGCTTTCTTGAATCTAGAAATCAAAGAAACAGAAGAGACTTAAGGTACAAGATTCTATAGGCAGTACTGACCCACTAAAACTTCAAAAGAAACTCTGGAATTTTTTCCTCTTCTTTTTTTCAGTACTATGCTTGTGCAGGATTTTGTTTATATATATAATTTACATATATATTATATACATATATATTATATATAAATTACATATATATGTGTATATGTATATATATTTTAGTTGTTGACCTATCTTTATTTTATTTATTTATATGCAGTGCTAAGAATCAAACCAGTGCCTCACACATGCCAGGCAAGTGCTCTACCAATGAGCCACAGCCCCACCCTTGTTTCTTTTTAACAGGGAGTGTGCTAAATTACTATTACAAGTTCCATTCAAATTTAAAATGCCAAGGCCTTGATCATGCTCTTGCCTATAATCCCAGAGACTTGGGATGCTAAGGCAGGAGGATCATGAGTTTGAGGCTAGCCTCAGCAACTTAGAGAGACCCTATCTCGAAAAATAATAATAAAAAGTGCCGGGGATGTAAATCACTGGTAAAGTGCCCCTGGTTTCAATCCCCAGTACCAAAAGCGAAACAGTATTATCCAACATACTCACCACAAAAATTTTCTTAATCATCTCTCACATGTTCTTTAGACATCTTTCCCCAATCTATTGAAGGTTCATACACTGAATTGGTCAATGCAGAACACTCTCCCCTCAACTCTCCACCACCTGCCACCACTTCACTAATTCTTCAAAACATTCACTCCTTAAAGGAGTCCTGTTCAGTTGTCCCTTCATATAACACCCCACATTGGAGATGGGTCTATTTCCTGAGTGTTAGATTCAGATCAAAGACTTCTAACATCACCATTACATAGCTCTCGTGTGAGCCTCCCACTGTAACACACGAGAAAGAGCATGATGTTGGGCCATCTCACTACTAGACATGTAAGGCTCAACCACTGAGTAAATGTGACTTACGGATCACATTATTTTCACAGAATATTTTTCTCTTTGTAATTAATAAATATGTGGAGTAGTAATTTGATAATACTTGAATATTTTTGTTCCCAACAGTCTTCCTCTTAATGATTTCAGATTCTTTGATGATCTCTGCCTAATTCAATTATTACACTGATGATTACAAAATAATCATTTGTAAAATTCCCTTATTCCTTCCACATATATTAACTGGCATTTATCTGTAAAAACAGCTTTTGGTTTTTTCTTTGTCTTGCATTTTTCACTGTTATTATGCCTGTTATCTTCAATATTCTTTTTGATTCTCAAATGGTTTTAAATTTGGTCTCTTGGAGGCTCTCCTGCTTCTATGCCTTTTAACATCAATGTATTACCATTTGAGTACATCCTCACTCACTGGTGTCAGTCACTTCTCCAAGCAGCTCTAGTCTTTTACTGAGCAATGGTATTTAGGGCCCCAAATTTGATGCTCAGTGAACTTACTGCTACCAGGATGCTGTTTTAACATCTTAACAT